ATTGAACTCAGGCCCTTGCGCTTGCCAGGGAAGCACTTATTCCACTGAGCCATCTCCCTGGCCCCTGCTTATCCTAATTTTTAATAAATAAAAATTTTGAAAAGGTAGCTAGATAAACCTTAAACGTGGCCTGGGCAAAGTGTAGTATCCAGTTTTTTTTGTTTTAGTATCCCATTTGAACCTATCATTTTAATGATTCTACTGCTTATGACATTTCTTAAGGGATTGGGTTTCTTTTTTGAGGGAGTTTTGGGAAGGTGGTTTGAGACAGGGCCTCGGTACTGCAGGCTGGCCTTGAACTCACTGTCACTCTGGCCAGCCTCCAATTCACCGTGCTGTTCCTGCTTCGGCCTCTTGAGTGCTGAGATTACTGATGTCTACCACCATGCCTGGAAAGATTCATTTTTTTTTCCCCGGTTCCACCAAAAAAAAAAAAAAAAGATTCATTTTTTTATACCTTAACCTGTTTAGACATCACCAGGTCTAGAATTTTTCCTTTGTCAAGAGCAACTGGATGAGGGTTCAGGCACATTCAAGTACGAATGCAATATAAAGCCTGATATCTTTTTTTTTTTTTTTTAATAATTACACAGCTCAGACTTGTAGTGATCCTTCTGTCTCAGCCTCCCCAGCACTGGGATTCCAGGCATGTGCCACCATGACCCATTTTGGGGTGGTACAGCACACCCAAGGGCCAGCACGGTGTGGTACTGGTGATTGAACTCGAGTCCTTGCACTTGTCATGCAGGTACTTAGACTGCTGAGCTGTCTCCTCAGCCCTGAAGCCTAATATCTTTGATAAGGCCTGGTACATGAAAAGCACTTCCTCAGTCCTCTTTGCCTATTCTCTCACCAGGTCCCGAATTAGCAAAGTGGAGCTCTTCAGATCATTCCAGAAGCTGCTAAACAGCATTGCCGAGGATGAGTGGCCGGACTCCCTCAGGTGATGTTGTTGACCCATACTTTTTCATATCAGGAAGACTTTGGTTTGGGTTGTGGTGTGCTAGTGGCCGGAAGCCTTGGCAAGAGTGCTTGGTGTCCATGAGCCAGTGGGCACTCACTACTGACCACATGCTGTGCTGTCCCTGTGGCCCTGCTTTCAGACAGTGGCAGTCTTGAGAGTCTGTCTTGCCTGTTGCAGGAAAGCAGGGACCATGAGACTGAGCTAAGTCATAGAGGGAAAGGTAAATCGTCACAGGTTCAGTTCTGAACGCAAGGCCAAGGGCATATGGACAGCTGCGGAGCAGGGTGTGGGGGTCAGTATAGGAGGTGGAACGTCACTAGGCTGAAACAGCATGGCCACACTGGTAGGACTCTTGCTGAAGGCAGGCCAGGGTGATGAGGTGTCAAGGAGAAGGTGAAGAATTTGATCCAGTATTGACAATGTTCAGATACTAAACTTGTGAGATTTTTTGTTTTGTTTTTTTGTTTTTTGCTGAACTGACTTAGCATAATTCTTGCTGAAATTGGAGTTAGAGGACCAAAAAGAGAGCCCATGGTCAACACCAAGTCAAAAAGAAGCCTCAGAGGACCCCCACTCAGTATGGACAGTCTTTTCAGAAGGCAGTCTGGTCTTTTACCTGGATGTATTATAAATACTCCTCAGCATGTCAACTATGCTGGGGTAGTCAGAAATGGCTAAGGGTTTGGGAAGGGTGTTGACTGACAGTAGAAAGGAGGAAAATATGGATATGGTGGAAAGATCTTTGTTAGAACAAATACAATGAAAATTTCTAATGTTTAGATGCTCTAGTGAAAATTATAGACCACTAGAAAACTTTAAACCAAAAATATAGTTGTTACTGTTTTATTTGATTCTACCAGGACCTTAGAAAACTAGTATTGTGTTCATTCCTACCAATTTAATCCAAGTCGTGACCCTGTAAATTGTTTTCCAAGAGTCAGAGTTGCTCCAGGAAAGCGCATTGAAAGCCTTTGATTCCTGGTCTTTCATTGTGACCTGTCCAGTTGCGTGCTTGGACATCTTGCAGGCCCCCAAAGTGAGCAGCTGAGTGAGAACTTCTGTGTTTTCTTTAGGGTGCAGAAGCTACACACCTACCAGGAGTATAAAAATGCTGCCTCTACTTACCAGGAGGCCTGGAGTGCACTCCAGAAGCAGGCATTTGGATCCTGGATCAGAAACCCACCAGACTATCACCAGTTTGAATGAAAAGAAAAAGGTTTTAGAAGGATTGCTAGTAGGTCACAGGATCTTTTGTTTTGAACTGCCTCTTCCTTTACACTGGACAAGACTTAGGTTTTCTGATGACTAAACCTGGAGGTGGGGGGAGAGAAAAGTGCTTCCAGAGCACTGTATCACTTTGGTGTCACATAGATGGAATCTGGAACACAGCAATCTATACTTGAAGTAGCTCGCTGCTAAAGCATCATCTCACAAGTGACCTTGGTCTCTTGAGTTGTCATGTTTTATTGTTTCTCTAAAATACAAAATCACAGTTTGGAACATGATACTTTAAAAGCACTCTGCAGCAGCTCTGGTTTATATGTTCCTGTATTGATTTTGTAGATATTTATTGAACTCCAAAGATTTAGGGATCTCTGCAAGCTCTACAGCTTTACCTGGAGTCCTACACCTAAATGGTATGGGGGAGGGGGAAAGTTACCAAGATGGCTGAGTGGTGGGCAGCAGAGAAAGAGCTGCTCTGAGAGTCACCATCCAGGTGCTAGAATATAGCACCATGAGGAAGACAGAAAGGAGGGAAATGGATCCCCTGGACTAAGGAAAGATCTGAGACACAAGTTGAAATCCATGGAGAGAGTGAAGGGAGAAATGTCAACAAAGAAGGAGGTAGCCAACAGCGTCTTCTCCCTGAGACAGAACTCATTGCATGAAAGAAGTTATTCAAACCTGTGGACACACAGTGACTGTCCAGAGGCCTCCATGGAGAGAAACAGCAGTGAAGGGGAACGGGATGTGAAGGACTGCCCTAGCTGGCGGTGAGTGCTGAGGGCTCAGTCTCGCTCAAAAAGGCGATTAGCTGGGAACCATTTTGGACAGGAGTTTATTGAGCTCAGGTTGCTGACTCCGCTTAGCAGCTCCCAGCTGAGCTCAGGCTGATGGTGCAGGCTGAATGAAACTGGTCTCATCCAGAAGGTGCAAGCTTGCTGAGCTTATCCACTCCTGCCAAAAAGCCACTGGTGGCTGTTGGGATAGATGGGCAGAGATCTAGACTCTGTCTTTACACATTCTGTACCAGTGACAGCAGAGACAAACCTGGAAGTGGATCTCTCTTTATCTCTCTCTCTCTCTCTCCCACCCTCCCTTTTTGTTATCGTAATGGTTTTGGAGGGGTTTTTTTTGCCTTCATTGTTTGTTTGATCTTATTTGTATGAATGTAAACATGATTTCTACCCTCTTTGTGGTTGTTCTGTTCTGTTCTTTTTATCTCTTCCTTTTCTCTTTCCCTCCATAAAATTACGATACTGAGGACTTGTACACTGCCTACAATTTTCTGATCTGTTTTTTTTTTTTTTCTGTCTGTTTGTTTTTGATGGAAACAGGGATCAAACTCAAGCCCTTGCGCTTGCCAGGGAAGCACTTATTCTACTGAGCCATCTCCCTGGCCTCTCTGGTCTGTTTTATATTTTGTTATATAATTACTAACCTAATTCATATGGCAAAATATGGAAAATTAGGGTCGGCCAAATAGCTCAGCAGATCAAAGCTCCTGCAAGTGGGCACAAGGACTGCGAGTTTGATCCCTGGGCCTGCCATGCCACACACCCCCCACTGGGTGCACTGAGATGGCAATTGAGACTGGGTGTGGTGGCGCACACCTATAATCCCAACTCTTGGGAGACTGTAAACAGGCGGATCACTACGAGTCTGATCTAGTAGTGAGACCCTGAAAACCCTGTAGACCTTTCCCTAAACTACAAAAAAAAAGATGGAAAATTAATGGTTACCTCAGTTTGTCATTTTATAGGTTATAATTATTGCTACTGTTACTGTTGATGATACCACTTTAGCCAACAGTGACATGATTGTTTTATTTTATTATTTTGTTTTGTTGGGATTTTTTTTGGCAGAAGCAGGGATTGAACTCAGGCCTTTGCGCTTGCCAGGCAAGCACTTATTCTACTGAGCTATCTCCCTGACCCCCAGCATGATTGTTTTAGACAGCTATGATTATACTTTGGTTTCTCTTCAGATTATATAAATCACCTTTTAAACAGCTGTGCTTCCTGGTAATCCAAGACAGATTGACTAAGGATTACAGAAAATACTGTGACACAGTGCCAAAGAACCAGGGGCTGGGCCAAACAGGCAGCAACTTCTTATCCTCAACAAATTGAAGAGGTAGGATCTTGCAACAGACTCAAAACCCAAAAAACCAGTTTTACCTGGAAGTTACCTCAGAGAAGTAGTCATTTCCTGAGGGTTCTAAATACTAGCAATAAAAGAACCATAATAGGCAATTTACAGGCATCACCTCAGGAATTAAACTGGAAAAAAAAAAAAATGAAAAGTCACTTAAACAAGATACAACCCCAGATATCTAGTTCAAGTTACCTCAGAGAAGTAGTCATCTCCTGAGGGTTCTAAATACTAGCAATAAAAGAATCCATAATAGGCAATTTACAGGCATCACCTCAGGAATTAAACTGGGAAAAAAAAAAATGAGAAGTCACTTAAACAAGATACAACCCTAGATATCTAGTTCAACGAAGACAAACTCAGGGGGCAATGAGGTAGAACAATCTGAAAGCCACCCATCTGGCCCTCTGAAGTAACAGCAACAAAGTAATTAAATGAAGCTCTAGAAAAAATTAAAGCAGAAATAGTTTCTCAGATAACTAACTGCAAAAAAAAAAAGATGACTGCAGAGATCATATCAACAATGAAAACCATTTTTAGTGATTCTAGAGCAGATACAGGGAAAAAAAAGGCGCTTACAAAAATTATGAAGGCCATGAATGATCAGCATAAGAAAGAAATGGAATTCAGGACCAGGCAGATAGCTCAGTGGACTAGTGGCTGGGTTCAGTCCCCCTTGTGGAGTGCCGACCCTGCCCCGGTACACCCTGAGACTGGGCATAGTAGGGCACCTGTAATCCCAGCATTTTGGAAGCTGAAAACAGGAGAACCACTGAGTCAGATCTATGTAGTGAGACCCTGTACTCCCTGTAGACCCTGTCCTAAATTCATTTATAAAAAAAACAAAAAAATGGAATCCATAGACAGATTCAATCAGATATTCAGAAAAATAAAAATTCCATTGAAAGTATCTACTACAGGGGGCCTGCCCCTTAGCTCAGTTGTTTAAGTGCCTGCTTACACAAAGCAGTCAGGCTCAGGATGCTGTGATTCAATCCTCACATCCTCAAACCAAACCAGACCTGCCCTGAAGGCATCCTGAGCTGGCAAAAAAAAAAAAAAAGAAAAAGAAAGTATCTATGCAGATTAAGTCAGTGTGAGGACAGGGTCTCAGATACAGAAGACAAGCTTGCAGTTAGTGATCATGAAAAGAAAAATTCCTTAAATATGACAGTGCATCATGAGAAATAAATTCAGTAGCTGCTAGATGAGGCAAAGAAGAGTAACTTGGGGCTGGGGAGGTAGCTCAGCAGTTGAAGCACCTGCCTGGCAAGAGTAAGGACCCAGGTTCGAGCCCCAGTACTGCATGGCATGCTGACTACCAAAACTGGGTGTGGTGGCGTGCACCTGTAACCCCAGTGCTGGGGAGACTGAGACAGGAGGATCACTACAAGTCTGAGCTGCATAGCAAGATCCTGTACCAAGTAAATAAGTAAATAGTTAAAGTTTTGTTTTGTTTTTTGGTGGAACCGGGGATTGAACTCAGGCCCCT